TACACCACGCAGTTGACCGCCCGTGGGGCGGTGAATGGAATCAGGCGGGGTGGGACCTGTTCCAGCAGTGCCGCAATGGCCAGGAGTGCGGCCTGGAGCCCAGGAGGGAGCTCGGATTTGTTGCACCGAGTGGGCGCCAGATCTGGCGTAAATGGGCGCCACCGCCGCCCGCCCCACCTTACCAAACACTGTCTGGTTGACAAAATTGAGCTTGCCCGCCAGGCAGTGGTCCGGGGTGAGGCGGTTCTCCTGAATAGCCGCCTCAATGATGCCGAGAGGATCTTCTTGAGGCGCCTTTCGGTCGGCGCCAAGGTGGCGCCGTCGCGTCCCAGGCTGAGCTGGACCACATGGGACCGCCCGGGCTCCTGCGCCTTGGATGCCTTAGTGTTGAGTCCCATGAGCAGGAAGAAGTCGGCGAAGCCGTGGAAGGCGGAGTCTGCGAGGTCCGTGGCATCCACCCCGTTGAAGTCGTCGACGTAGTGGCCGCCCACGAGGAAGAGCAGGGTGCGAGTGAGGAACTGCAGCGCGTCTCCTGCTCCATTGAAGTTCCACACCGAGGCCGCCGCCCCGAAACAGTCCCGAGCCGGCCACTGGCGGTAGGCGTTGAGGAGGTCATGGCGCCAGAGCCGGACTGTCTCGCCTTGTTGGGCCAGCCGAGCCGACGGTGAGCGGACGTCGGAGGCCTGTACTGTAGCGTTGTGATGCCAGTCTTCTGACCTTGCCTGCCTCGTCCTCTTGGATAATGGCGCGAAGATATCTCCCGGAGGTGGCGACCAGGCGGTCGAGCCCGTGGAAGTTGGCAGCAGGGACGCCGCGGCCATCCCGGCGGTGCCTTGCACGGCCCAGGCGAGCTTACTCATCAGCAAGCTCGGCCAGCACGTCCAGGGCCAGCCTGGTCTGGGCCGAATGCGAGCCCAGCTGGCGTGTCCTTGTCAGGCGTTGCGTAGACCGCCTTGACGTGGGCCGCCCGGGCGCCCACCCAGGCGGCGGCGCGGGCTCGCCAGCCCCAGGCCAAGTCGGAGAGGTCCTGCATGACCTGGGGGCGGTCCCCAGGCCGGGGCTTGACGCCAGATGGACGCCAGCCATTGAAGTGTGGAGCATCCCGGTAGCACTCCCCAGTGCCAGCCAGGCGGTGTCGGCTCTTATCCGAAACCCCCTCGACCCAGGTGTAGTCCAGGGGTATTTCGTGGAGCTGCTCCTTGACGGAACGCACATCTCGCCCGTTGGGCTGGTCAGCATCGCCTCTCGCTTGTAGTGCCAAGGTGCATACTGGCGCTTGTCCGCCAACCAGCGCTCCTGGGCGTGCTTAGGCGTTCGGCCTCTGCTGGACTTCGGCGCCGGTCCTTCTTCAGTGGGCGCTGGTGTAGTGGCGCACGGCATGTGTTTGCGCCCCGAGGCCACATCAGCATGAAGTAGAAGTCGGTGACCGCCTTCCGGGGCGTATTGAGCTGTAGGCGGTGGAAGCCATCCTTTTTTGCCCAAGCCAAGGCGGAGCCGTCGGACGGGTCCGAGAAAGCCGCGGGCGAGTGACCCATCCAAAGTCGCCCGCGCAGGCTTCTCGGTCACCGTCTTCGTGTCGGCCGAGTTCATGAGGACGTTCTCGAAGATGGAGGCGGTGTTGTAGCCCGGGAGGTCGTCAAAGATCGCCTGCATGAACTCGGCGGAGGCGGAGAAGAGGCGTCCCCTTGCGCCTCGGTGGCCCTCCCCGGGCCCAATCAGGGAGAAGTCCTGGCACGGCGGGGCCGCCCCAAACAACACGAGGCACTCTTTTTTTAGGTCCGCCTCTCAGATGGTCGCCGCGACCTTCTTCGGGTCGTCCTTGCTAATGTCGCCCCTATGGGCGAGCCATGGCAGCTAGGCAGTCTTGGTCGATTTCCCACGTCAGTGCAAGGCGTGGCTGTCCAAAGCGCTGCTCGATGAGGTAGGGAGCGCCCCTATCCCATCGAAGGCGGTGAGCAGCACAAAGTCCCGCCCCACGCGGTTTGCCTCGGGACCCGGCTGCTCATTGCCCTGCGAGCCTCTCGCCCTTTGGGCGGGCGGTCGGGTCGCCCGCCTGGCTGCTCTGCCTCTGGCGAGGGCCCGCGCTGTCCCTAGCGCTTCTGGCCCTCTCCAAAGCGGTCCTCCTTCCATTGTTTGCCAGAGCCCTGGCTCTAGCTCCAGCTGGACTGGTTCCAAGACCAATCGCCCCAGTCCTCTTGGGAGTCCTGTCCGCGATTGCGGCGCTCGCCCCCTTTAAGCTTGCCGGTTTTCCCTTTGCCCTTGCCTTTGCCGCGGCCGCGGCCTTTGGGCTGCTCGGTGTCCTCGGTCTTCGCCCACTTGCGTGGGTTGCCGGGGTTGCCGCCCGAGTTGGGCGACTTCTTTGGCTTCTGCCTCTTCTCTGGGGAGGGCATCGCCAGCGCCTCCTGAAGAGACGGCAGGTCGGAACGAATCTCCTGAGTCACCTCGCCAAATGTGCGCCCCGACCGCATGCCCATAGCGATGCGCCAGGCGGCTTGCAGCCAGAATTGTTGCATTTGGTATAGTTTGTCCGCCCCTTGACCGCGACGTCGTCCTCTGCGCCGAATTGCAAAAGGATCCAGGCCCATCTTGCGGCCTCCGCCCCGTCCAGGACGGTCAGCATGCTTTTCGGCTCCCATTCTTTCTCCTCCACGGTGTGGAGCTCGTCAAGGCGGAGGACGACTGGGCGGTTTGGCGTTTGAGTGCCAAGCCGTTTAGCTCGCCGCCCGCCGCCCAGGTACGGCGGGAGAGGATCTCGCCCAAAGTGAGCGCCTTGTACATTTTGGATTTCGTGTGTTCATGCCAGAGCCTGGCAAGCACCTCCTCGGCGCCCAGGAGTTCCGGGAACTCGCGGCGCTCGCCCCCCAAGGAGGCGCTTATTGTAGAGCTCGATCTGGTCCGCCCACTGTGGGAAGTCCTTGGGCGGCTTGTGTGAGGAACTGCCGCCCCCGGAGGCGGTGGCCACCGAAAGGGCGCCCGGAGTCGCCACGGCCGGCTTGGCCACCGTGGCGGGGTCAATGGCAGTGTTGCGCGCCTGCCACTGGCGGCGCGCTTCCAGCCACAAGTGGATGAGGACCGCCTCACTCACGGCCGAATCCGCCGTGTCCTTCAGCTTGTGGGTGACGCCGGCCGAGTCGGTGTAGCCCTTCTTGAACTGGTCGAGGTCGGCGCCCATGAAAGCCAGGGTGGCTGTGCGATTAATGTTCCGCGCCTGCAGGTAGGCGTCGAGGTCTGGCCCCGCGCCCGATTGGGCGATTGGCCACTTGATCAGGGCCCCTGCCACCGTTGGCAGAGGACGCCCCAGCGGGCAGGGGGACTGGTTCCCGCCCCCGTGGTAGGCGCTTGATGCCCGGTGTCGGCGGCAAGCTTGAGCACACAGACTAGCGAGCCAGGGGGGAGATCTAGGCAGTCCGAGCCATGCAGAGCAGGTCGGGCCTACTAATTTTTTCCCCTGCGCTACGGCTGGTCCGGGGTGGGCGAGTCCTCGCCCGATGAGGCTGAGCAAATGGAAAATTCGCCCGATGAGGGCGAGTTGCCCGCCTCTGGCAAGCAGACCATGCACAGGCGGTGTTCATCTTGGCGGCTCCAAGCTCGAGAGGTCCCTGCATCGGGATAGGTCCACCCGCACGGCGCCCTCCACTCCAGGCGGTTGCTGTGGGGCTCATTGAAGTCGGGCTTGCGCAAGACCGCGTTGTTGCGGTACGCCCGGTCAGTGCTTCCCGATACTCGACCTCGGGCTCGACTTGGCCGGACGGCGCCTCCCACTCCCCCCATGCTTGGGGTCTGGGGTTGGCCCCCGCCACTCTCAAGACGCCGCAACCAATCCTTCTTGCGCCGCAGTGGAGTTGCGTAGCGCGAGGTCGGCCGCCTGTGGGGCCAAGGCGAGCGGTGCCGCCTGGCTGTATCTTTCGATGGCCATGCTAGACCACCGCCCCAAAAGTTGGACGGTGGGCAACGGCGCTCCGTTGGCCACGAGGAAGGATGCTCCTGTCACCCTGGCAGCGTGACCGCCGAACTTGGGGACCACGTCGCCCTGGGCGGTGACCAGGTGAGCGCCGACCCCGCAGGCGGTGAGGACTCTCTCCAGCATAGCCACCCAATCTCGTTTGGCGGTGGTGCCGCCCGACCTGTCGGGCAAGAGGTCGCCCCCAACACCCTAAGCCGGGCTAGGTGCCGGGCGGCCGCATGCACTGGGCAAAGCGGGCGCACCACCACACCACACGCGCAGCAGAGCGTGCGCACGGTGAGTAGAGGTTCGCCCCCCCTGGGCGGTCTTGTGTATGGGAATCTGCAGGGTAACCTCCCGGAGCGAGACGGAGATGTCGCCCACTCTGGCTGAGGCGGACTCGATCTCGCGGAGCATGAACCACGTTACCACCACCAAGGCGTACGCCCCGTGAAACGGGAGTTGCCCGTCCCAAGGCGCCGACGGCGCCCTGGGCTGTATGACCACCATGAGCGCCAAGAAGTCAAAGGCGGTCTTGAGCTTGTTGCCCGGGAGACCGCGGGTCGCAGCTCTGTGGACCCTTCTTGCCAGCTTCTTCAACAAGTCCGGCACCGCCTGCTGTAAGGCGGTCTCTTGGCGGCGCATGGCCGCCTGGAAGTACAGCTTCACCGAGCTGTACCCCGCCTGGCGCATAGATGCCCCGACCTTGCGCAAGGCGTCGATGGTCTGGGCCAGCATGTTCGCCTGGAGGTCCTCCAGGGCGGCGTCCCGACGAGCAGGGGGCCGCCCTTGCGTCTTCAAGGCGGGCCCGCTTTTGCGGACGCCTGAGTGGCAAGTCCGCCCGGCCGGGCGGCTGGTCCGCCCGCGCGGGAGCCGCATTCATAATGAGCAGCGCGGCCGGTCTCGGGAAGCCGTCCGGGGGGCTGGGGCAGGAGCAGCGCCCGGGCCACTAGCTCTGCGAAGGAGTGCGGTGGTGCTGCCGCCATCGCTTTGGCGTGAGTACTAGCTGCTCTTGAGCCAAGCAAGGAGCCCTGCAGCGGGCGATTTGAGCCGAAGTGCCCGATTTCGAGTGGCACCCGCACCAAGACCAATCCTCCTCTGGCGAACGCCACGACACCACCGCCCAACAACAAGCAAGACGGCAACAGGGGTCAGAGTACGCCTGTGACCACCTCAAAGTGCGCCTCCCCAGACCACGTCCGCCTCCCGCAAGGCGAAGGGAGAGCGAAGAGACTACCAGTCGAGGGAGCCACAGACCACCACAAATTACGCCTCCGCTGACCACGTCCACCGCCTTCCACTCCTGGGCGCCCTTTCCGCCCGAAGGGCGAACGCCCTTTTGGCCTTTGCCCGCCAGTTCGGCCTGCTCCTAGCCGAACTGGAGCTCTCGCCCAATGTTAGGCGCGGCGCCCTTAGCACGGGCCTGGGCCTCTTGCCGCTCTGGCTGGGCTTCTCTGCGGTCCAGCGCCCGAAGCAGCTCAAAGATCTCGCACCGAATGGCGGCTGTAGCTTTCGAAGCTCATCCCGAGTCTTGCTGCTTCCGCCTGCTGCCAGGCGGTGCGGAAAGGATAATGCTCTGGCCACTGGCTCGAGCTCGCCCCCGGGCCGTGGTCCGAAGCCGTCGCCTCCATGGGGGGCGGCGGGGGCGCGTGGGCAAAGTCCGCTCCGCGTGGTCTGGGCCCCGTAGCTGGACGGGGTCCGTCCTAGGGATGGTCGCCCCTTGGACCGGCGTATTGCTCAGGTCCGTAGGCGGGCCTGCTGGTCGCCCGGCAATGCGCAAGGCGCAATACCGGGGGGGGGGCGGCTTGCTGTAGTCTTCGGGGGCCCAGGCTTCGCCTGTGCGAAGCAAGCCGGGGGCTGCTTCCGCGGCACGCCCGGTATGGAAGGCTTTGCCGCCCCATCAATTTGGTCCGCCAGTTGGCGGACCGTCTGCTCTGCCTACGTGGCGGTGGGCAGCACTGGGTCTGGATCCGCCCGTTGAGGGCCGATCTTATTAGCCCGTGAGCGGGTCGCGCCCGGAGTGGGCCGCCCCTCGGGCGTTGTCTCTTCGCCGTGCTGGGGCGGTGTCACGCCCGGCTGGGCGTCGTCCGTAGGCCAAGGTAGTAGGCGCCGTGGCTGACATAGAGGTCGGTCCAGCCATAGGCGCCGAGGATGAAATAGCAGCGGCGGTGTCCTCGGGCTGTTCGTCCAGGTATGACTCAAGAGAAGTGGG